TTTGCAGTTTGCTTGCTTACACTATTATTAATATCTTCCATTTTTTTTTTATTCTTTTCTTTATTGATTCTCTATCATCTCCCTTCTAGGATTCATTTTTGATAGAAGTGAAGGCAAGCATTCTGTCTATTTCTTTCTTCAAGTAATTCACAGTTTCAATTGCCATTTCACTGAATGAAAATGTCAAGTCTTGTTTAACCTTTTAACCAAATAATTGTTTGAAATTCTTCCAAATATTTTTGCTCACCAACAGTTTACTCGATTTATTTTTTATTTTGACTTTAAATGCGTGAATTTTGTATCCAAACACCCACCCCAAAATTTAATCAATCACTATAACGGATATTATTAATTAAATTTTGTATGAAAACTATTTCATATGACCTATATATAAATCTATAACGGATTCACGTGATCTAAAAATAGTCCTCTACAAATTAATCAAAAATAAACCTTAATTATTTAAAATAAAAACTTATGATTGTTTAAATCTTAATAATCTTAAAGTATATAGAAAACAATGAAATGTTGTTAAATAAGAGAAAATCTTTAACTGCATTGGTAAAAAGTAAGGTTTGTTTAGCAAAGCAGACAACTCCGATTCCAACAAACAAAGAATTAGCAACAACTTAAAGTCAAAAAATAGGATTTAATTCAAAAATACAAACCTAAATCAGATGATTTTTTTAGTATTAACATTGAATGGTTTTTTTTATGTTTCGTTAAGTACGTGACTTCACTGACTGGATCCTACGGCGCGTATCACAGTAATACATCTACTTTTTATATTAATATAGAGAGGATCAGAAATTTTAGCAATATTTTTTAAATGTTTTAATTCCAACTATTGTGATTTTTGTGATTTAATTTTTGTAGATGAATTAAAATTGATACATTTTACTTCATAATTTGGGAAGGGGGATAATTTCAAAATTTTTATAATACAACATCAAACTTTAACTTGACATGACTCCTGTTGCATTGAACTTATTTAACAAATTCCGATATAGTTCAATAGCTTTTAACTAGAATAATTGATTTATTTTAAAAGTTACATGAAAATTTAATTCATGTCAATTTTAAGAAGACCAATTATTTTGGATGTATTATTGTGACACACACTGTACGACAAATAATTTTTTTTGAGAAAATCTCTCTATTACATTAAAACTAAAGACATATTCTATCAATTAATAGAGCTATTTTTTTAAAAGGTAAGTCCGAAAGTGACTTATATACTTTTAAAATTTGCCCAAAATTTAGGAGATCTTTAAAACCAAGCCAACTATAAGATTAATTTGTGAATTTTTGGTGTATATACAATACAACAGTGCAGGGATGATGATTTTTTGTGTTTCACATAATTTCACAGATTTCTGTGATTTCTGTGATATAAGAAGAAATCATGTTACATCACCACAAAAATTCACAAAAAATAGGTTACATCACAGAATTTAATTAAAGTTGCATACTATACCTTATTTTGAATAGTATTTACATATTTGTTTGCATATTTTGATGTTTTAACTGTTATAATTATATATTGTGTGAGAATATTTTTATTACTTTAACAAATAATGACTTCACAACGTCTTAAAAATTCAGTGGTGTCAATTCATTCTCGAATCAGAGAATATCCTGAAGTTTTTAGAAATGATTCTGGAATAATGTTTTGTATTTATTGTGACAAATCTATTGACTGGAAACACAAATCAACAATAGACAGTCATGTCAATAGTATTAAGCATGAATCAAATAAAAGAAAATACAAAGCTAAACAACAAGTATCTCACCAACAAACCCTTCAAACTACACTTAGAGCAGCAGATTCCAAAAAATTGTAATAGAAGATTTAATTGAAGCATTTGTTGGTGCTGATATACCACTTCAAAAGGTTGATAAATTGCTCCCCTTTTTCAAAAAGCATTTAAGAGAAGGAGGTGCAATTCCAAAAGCTCCAACTCTAAGACAAGTATATCTTCCAAATATTTTTGAAAGTCATTTTTCTTCTCTTAAATTGCTATTTGATTCTAAACCAGTTTCTATTATTATGGATGAAAGTTTAGATGATTGTGCTCGTAGTGTAGTAAATACTATTTTTGTATACCACAATTACACCAAGCTTGTTTCAGTTGATTTTTTAGATATAGTCAATAATTCAACAATTGGCCAGACACTTTTTTACATCTTAGCAAAATACAACATACCTTTTGATAAGCCAATTGTTTTTTTGTCAGACTCTGCTGCATATATGAAAAAAAGTTTTCGTAAGGTATTACATCCTGTTATGAGACAATTAATTCATGTACCATGCTGTGCACATATTATGAACTTGATTGGGTAAATTTTTTTATTTAATTATAATAATTACAATAAATAATTACAATAAATAATTACAATGAATATAATTTTTTTTATGATAGTGAAACTTGGATAAAATTTCCCCAATTTAGTATTGTAAAAAAGTTTTTACAAAATATTAAAGATGCTTTTGTGAAATCAGCTGCACGAAGACGTCAGTATATAACTCATCTTAAACATCATGGAATAGTATCACCATGTAAAATACCACTTCCTAATGCAACAAGATGGAATTCATGGTTTAAAATGGTATTATATACAAAAGAATATATCAACTACTGGCCACATTTTTTTGAAAGTGAATTGCAAGAAAATTCTAATAATACATTATTAGAAATTCATAATACTTTACAAAATGAACATGAAAGAGGCATTATTACAATTTATGTTTATTTCATTTCAATTTTTTCACAAGAATTTATTCAAACTCTTGATTTTTTCCAACAAAAAAATCTACCAGTATTTCCTTATATTGAAACAAGACTCCAGCATCTTACAGCATATTTAGAATCAAATAGAACTGCTGAAAATTTTGGCTCAGGTCTTGATGAATTAATTCTTAGTCTTCATTTTGTTCCTAGAGATTTTTATCCAATTTTTCGTGCTGCATTTGAAGCTGCATTTTTAAAATTTTCTTTACATATACCTAATCATCCAGCACGTGAATTATTTTGTGCATGTAGAGTTTTTGATCCTGTTTTTATTCATCTGGGAGATATTCAATGAAGAAACATTAGACTTTATTCTACAATTGTACCATTTAACAATCCTTCACATAATCTTTTGTATGAATGGGGCATATATTGTGGATTGGAAACTCCACTAGATTTAGGAGAAAATATGATTGAGAAGTTTTGGTTAGATAAAGTGAATGAATTGCCAATTTTGTCTAGCATTGCATTAGATTATATTTGGCTACCAATTTCCAGTTGTACAGTTGAAAGGAGTTTTTCTTTTTACAATACCATCTTGGATAATAATCGGCAAAATTTGTCTCAAGATTCTTTAAAAATATTAACTATGATGCATTTTAATTCAAATTAATTAACCTTCCTTCTTTATGTTTATATTTTTTTATGTTTATTATATATCTTTATCTGTTATAACATAATAAACATTGGTTTATATTAAATTATCAATGTATTTTTATCATAATATTGCCACATAATTTCACACATTTACCAAAAAAGCACCACAAAACTTCACAAATTTTGCAAAAATGAGATCACATAAATTCACAAATTTAGGCTTGAGCACAAAAATATTTTACCTTATGTCACAGGAAAAAATCATCGTCCCTGCAACAGTGTCTGAAATTGAGTGCGAGGTTTGTGTTACATATTGAATTTAGCCAATCAACGTTAAATTTTCTACCAGAAGGACAAATTTGATTGGCTAAATTC